AAGAAGAAGGCTTTGGTTGTTGTCCTCCTGCTTGCTAATTTTGTGCAATTCCCGTGTCCCTTCCCGTGCAATGATGGCTCTCTATGTTGCAGCATAAAACACCTGAAAATTGTCCAAATCAGGCAATCTTTGTGGCATCTGAAAGGTAGATTGGTCTTCTATATATNGTTCTTGTTGAACAACTTGCTAATTTTGTGTTATTCCATTGCCTCTTTCCAATAAAGGTTCCTTCCTGCGAAGTGATGGCTCGCTCTGTTGCAGCACAAAGGACCTGAAGATTTTTCAAATCTGGCAGTTTTTGTGGCTACTTAAAGGGCGAATGTTGCCCTATTCATTGATGTAAGTTTCACATCCATATTTCCTTTAGTTGGGAAATTATCGTAAGAGGAAGGCTTTGGTTGTTCTCCTGCTGCTTGCTAATTTTGTGCAATTCCCGTGTCCCTTCCTGCGAAATGAAGGCTCTCTCTGTTGCAGCACAAAGGACCTGAAAATTGTCCCAATCAGGCAATCCTTGTGGCTACTGAAATGGCAAATGTTCCCCTATTCATTGATGTAAGTTTTTATATAAATATTCCCTTTAGTTGGGAAATCATCGTAAGAAGAAGGCTTTGGTTGTTGTCCAGCTGCTTGCTCATTTTGTGCAATTCCCGTGTCCCTTCCTGTGCAATGATGGCTCTCTATGTTGAAGTATAAAAGGCCTGAAACTTGTCCAAATCAGGCAATCTTGGTGGCATCTGAAAGGTAGATTGGTCCTCTATATATTGATGTAAGTTTCATAACCATATATGCTTTAGTTGGGAAATGATCGTAAGAAGAACGCTTTGGTTGTTGTCCTGCTGCTTGCTAATTTTGTGCAATTTCCGTGTCCCTTCCTGCGTAATGATGGCTCTCTATGTTGCAGCATAATAGACCTGAAATTTGTCCAAATCAGGCAATCTTGGTGACATCTGAAAGGGCGAGTGTTCCTCTAGATATTGATGTAAGTTTCATATCTATATTTGTTTTACTTAGGAAACTATATGCATAAAAAGGCATACGTTCTTGTTGAACTACTTGCTAATTTTGTGCTATTCCATTGCCTCTTTCCATTACAGGTTCCTTCCTGCGCAATGATGGCTCTCTATGTTGCAGCATAAAAGACCTGAAAATTGTCCAAATCTGGCAGTCTTTGTGGCTACTGAAAGGGCGAATGTTCCCCTATTCATTTAAGTAAGTTTCATATCCATACTTGGTTCAGTCGGGAAATTATCGTAAGAAGAAGGCTTTGGTTGTGTTCCTCCTGCTTGCTAATTTTGTGCAATTCCCGTGTCCTTTCCCGCACAATGATGGCTCTCTATGTTGAAACATAAAAGGCCTGAAAATTGTCTAAATAAGGCAAACTTGGTAGCATCTGAAAGGTAGATTGGTCCTCTTTATTTTGATGTTAGTTTCATACCCATATATGCTTTAGTTGGGAAATTATCGTAAGAAGAAGGCTTTGGTTGTTGTCCTGCTGCTTGCTAATTTTGTGCAATTCCCGTGTCCCTTCCTGCGCAATGATGGCTCTCTATGTTGAAGCATAAAGGACCTGAAATTTGTCCAAATCAGACAATCCTGGTGGCATCTGAAAGGGCAAGTGTTCCTCTATATATTGACATAAATTTCATATCCATATTTCTTTTACTTAGGAAATTATATGCAGAAAAAGGCATAAGTTCTTGTCGAACTACTTGCTAATTTTGTGTTATTCCATTGCCTCTTTCCATTACAGATTCCTTCCTGAGCAATGATGGCTCTCTCTGTTGCAACATAAAAGACCTGAAAATTGTCCAAATCTGGAAGTCGTTGTGACATCTGAAAGGGCAAATGTTCCCCTATTCATTTATGTAAGTTTCATATCCATACTTGCTTCAGTCGGGAAATCATCGTAAGAAGAAGGCTTTGGTTGTTGTCCTGCTGCTTGCTTATTTTGTGCAATTCCCTTGTCCTTTCCCGCGCAATTATGGCTCTCTATGTTGAAGCATAAAAGACCTGAAAATTGTCCAAATCAGGCAATCTTGGTGACATCGGAAAGGGTGAGTGTTCTTCTATATATTGATGTAAGTTTCATATCCATATTTTTTTTACTTAGGAAACTATATGCATAAAAGGGCATACGTTGTTGGTGAACTACTTGCTATTTTTGTGCTATTCCATTGCCTCTTTCCATTACAGGTTCCTTCCTGCGCAATGATGGCTCTCTATGTTGCAGCATAAAAGACCTGAAAATTGTCCAAATCTGGCAGTCTTTGTGGCTACTGAAAGGGCGAATGTTCCCCTATTCATTGATGTAAGTTTCATATCCATACTTGGTTCAGTCGGGAAATTATCGTAAGAAGAAGGCTTTGGTTGTTGTCCTCCTGCTTGCTTATTTTGTGCAATTCCCGTGTCCTTTCCCGCACAATGATGGCTGTCTATGTTGAAGCATAAAAGGCCTGAAAATTGTCCAAATCAGGCAATCTTGGTGGCCTCTGAAAGGTAAATTGGTCCTCTTTATTTTGATGTTAGTTTCATACCCATATATGCTTTAGTTGGGAAATTATCGTAAGAAGAAGGCTTTGGTGTTTGTCCTCCTGCTTGCTAATATTGTGCAATTGCTTTGTCGCTTCCCGCACAATGATGGCTCTCTATGTTGAAGCATAAAAGAACTGAAAATTGTCCAAAGCAGGCAATCCAGGTGGCATCTGAAAGGGTGATTGGTCCTCTATATATTGATGTAAGTTTCATATCCATATATGCTTTAGTTGGGAAATTATCGTAAGAAGAAGGCTTTGGTTGTTGGCCTGCTGTTTGCTNTGAGCAATGATGGCTCTCTCTGTTGCAACATAAAAGACCTGAAAATTATCGAAATCTTGCAGTCGGTTTGGCTACTGAAAGGGCAATTGTTCCCCTTCTTATTTATGTAAGTTTCATATCCATACTTCCTTTAGTTGGGAAATTATCGTAAGAAGAAGGCATTAGTTGTTGTCCTACTGCTTGCTAATTTTGTGCAATTCCTTTGTCCCTTCCCGCGCAAAGATGGCTCTCTATGTTGCAGCTTAAAAGGCCTGAAAATTGTCCAAATCAGGCAATCTTGGTGGCATCTGAAAGGTAGATTTGTCCTCTTTATATTGATGTTAGTTTCATATCCATATATGCGTTAGTTGGTAAATTATCGTAAGAAGAAGGCTTTGGTTGTTGTCCTGCTGATTGCTAATTTTGTGCAATTCCCGTGTCCCTTCCTGCGCAATGATGGCTCTCTATGTTCCAGCATAAAAGACCTGAAACTTGTCCAAATCAGGCAATCTTGGTGGCATCTGAAATGTTGATTTGTCCTCTCTATATTGATATAAGTTTCATATCCACATTTCTTTTACTTAGGAAATTATATGCAGTAGAAGGCTTACGTTCTTGTTGAAATACTTGCTATTTTTGTGCTATTTAATTGCCTCTTTCCATTTCAGATTCCTTCCTGAGCAATGATGGCTCTCTCTGTTGCAATATAAAAGACCTAAAAATTGTCCAAATAAGGCAATCTTTGTTACATCTGAAAGGGTGATTGGTCCTCTATATATTGATGTACATTTCATATCCATATTTTTTTTACTTAGGAAATTATATGCAGAAGAAGGCATACGTTGTTGTCCTGCCTGCTTGCTAATTTTGTTCAATTCCCTTGTCCCTTCCCGTGCAATGATGGCTCTCTATGTTGCAACATAAAAGGCCTGAAAATTGTCTAAATCAGGCAATCTTAGTGGCTACTGAAAGGGCGAATGTTCCCCTATTGATTTATGTAAGTTTCATATCCATACTTGGTTCAGTCGACAAATTATCGTAAGAAGA